CTTCCTCGGCATCTTACGAGAGTCCAGCGAAGTTTTCCGTTGCAGGACGTCTAGATATAGGAGTAGAAACGAATAACTCTTTTTCTCTCTATCGATTTCCTTTTAAGTCCGACCTCGACCAGTTCCTCAGAGGTGTTCACCGCTCAACGCCAACCCACCAACTGAACGTGGCTTTCCCGTGCAGCGTTTACACATATGTAATCATTCAGCGCGCGCATGCGTTATCTCTTTCACGTCGCCGGTAACTGGATGGCAGCGGTCGAAACTCATTTAGGTTTTTCGAACTAATCGAATGTGACATTTACGCCTGACATGATTTTGTCCTTTGGGGAGATGCCACTGCGACTTTTCCAACCTCAAGGACTCCCGTTTCCTTTAGGAATCGCTTTGCCCGGTGTTTATAGACTTGACGCCGGTGTGTGTTACAGGGTCAGCGTGGCCCGGGACCCGCGTGCGCAGACCGCTCGCAGCTGAGGGGAAAAACGGCATCTTCCTTATACGGGATCTTTCCGATCGATTCTTGACGTTTCAAATCTTTCCGCGGGTTTTCTCTCCCGCGACGTAGAAGGCGATTATCACACGAAGAAAACTGGATTGCCAATGGGAAAAGGGAGAGCGGTTTGTGCAGATGATGATGCACCTTTATGTACACAAAGATTTTGATCTTTAACTGGAGGCTGTGCGGGTAAAGAACTAAAATTTGGTGGTGGGGTTAGATCTCCGTGTTTCCTCCACGCTCTTTCCTTCGTGACGTCACACTCCTCGCTGCACACCTACATGACAATGAAAATAATGTAACGATATTTTTATCAGCACATCTTTTCCATGTTTCTTTTTTTTCCGTTCCTCCTTCTAATTTTAACACGGGGCCCGTCATGATGCAACCATAAGCGCGGAAATGTGCAATATAAACGTACTTTTACCATTACCTAAATGTAGCATTTCATATCTTGCTGTCGGATTGCCTAACATGTCGTAACAGACATCTAAAACTGACAGCCACAAATCTTTAAAGAGGCGGAGATGCTGCTTGATTGCCTCAGTGAGATGTGTCTTTTCGCGAAAGAAATAGGAAAAAATATATATACACAGAGCAAGGAGACAGACTATCATTATCTATTTGGGTCATTATAGGCTGGGGGTCTTCGTGCAGCTCCAGTAATCGCAGCCAACCTGACTAATTGGTCGCCGGTTGACTCCCAGGCCACAGAAGTCAATGACTTGCTGACCTAGCTGAGGCTTATCGATAGGGGGTATATAGGCTTCGGGTCTCTGGACTCTTCGATTTGTTCTACATTATGAATCGATAACGTTACTTATTGCGTTGCTGTGCGTTCTCTTTCGCTTTGGCCCTGATTCTTTTTGGTGATGGTTCTCCTTTGAAAAAGACGTAAACGTGAAAGAATATAATAGCACAGAGAGTTACACAGCACACAAAAGATCCAATGAAAGTCTCCGCTTCCCTTCCCCTTTGAACATATTCCTGGCAAACTCCGACTATATCAGTTTTTTTTCATCTCAATAAAGCTCATGAAATCAGAAATGATCTACATACGTAAGAGAGAGAGAGAGACAGACAGACAGAGAGAGAGAGAGAGAGAGAGAGAGAGAGAGAGAGAGAGAGAGAGAGAGAGAGAGAGAGAGAGAGAGAGAGAGAGAGAGAGAGAGAGAAAGAGAGAAATCTACCATTGGATTTTCGAGGTAGATTTGGCAGAAAGACACCTCGTTCATATACAAACGCCGGAAGCAACTGTCATGCCTGATGGAAGTCTAGCCAGGGAGTCCCGTCCAAAAATCCAAGGGGGAGCAGGAGTGACTGTGCCCTCAAGACAGTCTTTAATCCAGCAGGTCTGTTTATCTTGTTATTACTTGCCATTGCACAAGAAAATTGGATACGGAGACAGCCTAAGTAAGTACGCTATTCAGAATGCAAAGCCTCGAGAATTTTTTATGCAGAGCAAACGATGTTACAAAGCAATAGCTGTGTGTTGTTTGTTTGTGTATGTATGTATGTTTGTATGTGCGCGTGTGTGTGTGTGTGTGTGTGTGTGTGTGTATGTGTGTGTGTGTATGTGTGTGTGTGCGTGCGTGTGTGTGTATGTAAATCACCACACACCGTGAAGGGTGTCAGTAAGCATTCCTTTGTCTTCATTTGCGGAAGAAACATAACAAGTTTTCTCAGCAAGAGGACTGCGTCATGACATCCGAAGTACCCTGTCCATTGTGCGGGAAGCCTCCTGGAGCCTCTCGCAGTGTTGATCTTTGGAGGTTTTACGAGATCCAGACCCACGTGTTGAAACGAACCGGTTCATACTGCCTCCACGCCGCGTCGCGACAGCAGCTCCCGACCACCGCCGCAAGTTTTCCGTGTGTGTGTGTGTGTGTTGTGTGAGTGTGTGTGTGTGTGTGTGTGTGTGTGTGTGTGTGTGTGTGTGTGTGTGTGTGTGTGTGTGTGTGTGTGTGTGTGTGTGTGTGTGTGATTGTCAACTTCCTTGTCTTTTCAATGCTCATCAACCAGACCCTATCTCCATCCTCTACTATTTACAAAACAAAACAAAACAAAACAAATCCTCGATTGTTATACATTTTTCAGATTCATTCACAATAAAATAATTCAATATGCAAATAAGAAGTTCTAGTTTCACTTTTTTTCACAGGATACCAAAATTGAAATCTTGCTTTCTATAAATGTGTTGAGTTTACATCCCCCGAAATTACTTTCAATTAGTCAAATAATATGTAAGTAGATTCATCATTTACCTTTAACACACCAGAGTTTAAGGATATTAACCCGAGCTTTAATATATAAGCGAACTGATATAGCCTATTTATTAATGCTCAGAACATTATAACAGATGACAAAAAACTACTTTAATGAAGTTATACACGCTCGCCTTTGCACTGTAATTAGCATTGCTTGACGCTAATGCAATTACCATGATAATTACCATCACCCTCATACTTATAGATGAAATAAAAGCAAGAAAAAAGGAAAGTAATAGTCATGCTACTAAAGTCAACCCGTTCGAGCACGTGAGCGCCGCCAGGCCGCGCAGCGTTCGAAGCCCCGGAGCCTCAGAAGCAAAGGCAGCGCGCAAAGCGTGACCCGCCATCGGCCCGCACAACGAACTCGAGCAAGAGAAGCAAAATCGGTAAAGCGTTGGCCCGACTCCAGCCCCCATGATGGTTGACTGTGACGTCACTCAGATGACGTCACCACGGCACTGCGCAGGAGAGGGAATTACGTACACTGGAAAGGAACCGTAGCCTTTTTTTTTTCTTTTCATTTTTTTTTTTTTTTTTTTTTATCCGAGCCCCAAGGCCATCGGAGCGCCAAGAAAGGCATCGCCATAGTCGTTCTCCTTTCAAAGAGAAATTTATAATTTATTACCATTTTACCTTTATCAGGCTTTATAGTCCGCGTCTTTTCCTTTTTTTTAAATATTTTCTTTTCCGTGATATGTGCCCACGTTTCTTTCGTTATCAAAAACAGTATGGTAATATTAGTAGGCAGAGGTAACAATAATGACAGTGGTAATAATGATAATAGCAATATTTTTAACAACGAGATAATGATGATTGTACTGACATTGATAATACTATTGCCAATGATGATAGTGATTCATAATTATAATCATATGTATCAATGCTGATTCTACTGGTGTTAACATCAATGACTATCAAAACTGACATGAATAACTATCGAAATCATCCTTGAAAATCACGTATTTTGCGAAAATGTATTGAACCACAACAAATAAATTTAGATGAGTACATCCACTATACTCATTTCAGTCATTTTAGAGATGAAAAATGTCTACCGAAATCACAGGAACGTGGGGAAGCATATCAATAGCCTGATGTTTAAAGATATTTAATTAAAAACAGACCGACAACAATATCTACACGTAAAATGCACTCAAAACACATAAGAAGAGAAATGTCAAATCGGTGGGCTTTTTAATGATGTTTTCCTTTGATTGATAGGTCAGACTGTGACTCACTTATTCTGAATGAGTGTGTTCTTTTTATATCTAGAATAATGTCCCGTTTTGTACACGTGCCCTTATTTGTTATTTGTTTTAATGAAATTACAGTTATAACTAGAGTGTATTAATTTTTAATGTCTTTTCTTATCCAATTTACAGTTTCTCTCTACTATATCTAATCGTATTACTACCCCCATAAAACTACGTTCCATACAATTACGCAACACAAAACTGATATGGAATAACACTTGAACACTTACTTTGTTCTTCAACGGTCGCGCAGGGCGTGGAAATCATTGTTGTTCTAATTGTAACATAGTAACATAATTTAACAGGAGTCCCTGTATTATGATTTTGTCTCGTCCTTGGAAAATTTAAGAGGACATACTCTTTCCTGGAAAAATGGGGTTACACGTAAAAGATTCAAATATTTATCAAATACGCCCTACATATTTTGGCTCGTATGTTTGATTACTATAAATTCATGCAATAGCTTCTGATACCAATTTTTTCCATTGAGGTTGACATTGACTAACGATTGGCGTCATACAGAGGTTTAGAAGCTAGTTTTGAAGATCGAAACAACCAGTTCGGTTGTGTTTAGCTGAGTAGCAAGCAAAATTCACGTGAGAAGCACCTGCTTCTGAATATGGACCAGTCTTAAAATATTTTGTTTTGTTCAAGATGTAAGCAGTTAAATTTGTAGATAAACTGTTGTGCCGTTTATAATGACTGGTAGATCATACGCAAATAAATAAGGTAATTGCAGAATAGTAGAGTACGTATGAATATAAAATCATCGTTCAGCCAACCGCGGCCACATTACACGAAAAAAAAAAATACAAAAAAACACTGCGACACACTAATACCATTATGACACGAGGTACGACATGAAATCCTACTCCATGGTGCAATACCCACCTCCTACAACAAACCACACTTAATGGGGAATTACATCTAAAAAAATATCTTCGCATTCCCCAAACCGAGTTGTCGCGAAGAAAAAATGAGGAACATCGCAATGCTTGTCGACGCAAGAGGCAATTTTCTCATCAGTCGCTGGCCACTTTGACCGAGCGATGGCGTGATGCGACGTACTTGGCTAAACCTCGCTAATGTATCTCTCCTTGTGCTGGTCTGGTCGCCTGTGCTCCGCGGGTTCTCGGGCC